CTACCATTTTCATGGGCTGCTTTTTGGAAGTAGATCACCAGACCTTTCTTCCTCATCTGTCTTAGTCTGGAAGCTCTGCTCACGTGGCTGCCTGTGAGGTGCATTGGCCAGGAATCAAACCCAGATCTCCTCATGGGAGGTGAGAATTCCCTACTGACCCATTCACTGTCCTTGGTCAACGAGCTCACTGTTCTTTCTCCCTCCAACAAAGGAGAGGAGCACTCACAGCACTGTTGGAAGATTCTCAGGTGCCTGGCACACAACAGACCCACACGTTGTTGTTGTTGTTGTTGTTGTTGCTGTTAGGTGCTGTCAAATCTGTTCTGACTCAGAGACCCCCACGTACAACAGAACAAAACAGCTCCTGGTCCTGCCCCAGCCTCACCCTTGTCATGTTTGATCCCGTTGCTGCAGCCACTGTGCTGATCCATCTTGTCCAGGGCCTTCCTCGTTATCCCCGCCCCTCCACTTTACCAAGCATGGTGTCCTCTTCTCCAGGGACTGGTCTCCCCATCACATTCCAAAGTACGTCCCTGAGCCAGTCTCAGCATCCTTGCCTCTAAGAGGCATGCTGGCTGGGCTTCTTCCAGGTGGATCTGTTTGTTCCTTTTGGCAGTCCGTGCCAAAAGGCCGCGCCTTTGGAACTTCCAGTATTCTTCCCCAACACCGTAGTTCAAATATATGGACTTTTCTTCGGTCTTCCTTATTCAGCGTCCAGCTTTCATATGCATACAAGATCATTAAAAATATCATGGCCTAAATACACACACACACACACACACACTATCATGGCTTTGGGTCAGGAGTACCCTAGTCCTCAAAATAACATCCTTGCTTTTCAACACCTCCAAGAGGTCTCGCACAGCAGATTATCCCAAGGCAACGTGTCATCTGATCTTTTGGCTGCTGCTTCCACGAGCATTGATTGGGGACCGAATCCCTTGGCAGCTTCCATCTTTTCGGCATGGATCACCTGTCGGTCCAGTTGTGAAGATGCAGGTTTTCTTTGCATTGAGCTGTAATCCATACTGAAGGCTGCAGTCGTTCATCTTCACCAGCAAGTGCTTCCAGTCCTCCTCCCTGTCTGTGAGCAAGATTGTGTCATTTGGTCTATCAAAAGTTGTTAAGAAGCCTTCCTCCAACCCTCATGCCATGTTTTCCTTCATATAATCCAGTTTCCCTGATTATTTGCTGAGTATACAGACTGGATAAATAGAGTGGGAGGATACAGCCCTTTCCTGATTTTAAACCACGCCGTATTCCCTTGTTCTGTTCCAGCAGCAGCCTCCTGGTCCACGGACAGGCTCCACCTGAGCACAACGAAGTGTTCTGGAAGTCCCAGTCCTCTCCAGACGATCCAGAGTTCGGTATGATCCACACGGGCAAATGCCTTTGCACAGCCAATTACAGCTAAACACCTTTCTGGTATTCTCTGCTTTCAGCCAAGAGTCATCTGACAGCATCCTCTTCTGAATCTGGCCCGAGCCTCTGGCAGCTCCTTGTCAAGAGTCTGCTGCAACCATTGTTGAGTGATCGTCAGCAACATTTTACTTGCAGGTGATCATCAGTGACAGTGTTTCAGCCTTTGCACATTCTGTGGTGTCGCCTTTCTTTGGAATGGGTAAAGCTAGGGGTCTCTTCCAGTCAGCTGGCCAAGGAGTTGTCTTCCAAATTTCCTGGCATAAATACATGAGTGCTTCCGGTGCTTCATGTGCTGATTGAAACATTTCCATCGGTACTCCATCACTTCCTGGAGCCTTGCTTTTGGCCAACACCTTCAGTGCACCTAGGGCTTTTTTCAGTAGCATTGGTTCTTGCTCAAGTGCTGCCTCTTGAAATGACAGCGTGGCGACTAGTTCTTTTTGATACGACAGTGTATTCTTTTGCCTCTTGAATCTTTCAACATTGCAAATTGAGGCTTGAAGTTTTTCTTTCTTTTTTTAAAAAATATTTTTATTGGGGGCTCTTACCTCTCTTATCACAATCCATACATTCATCCATTGTGTCAAGCACATTTGCACATATGCTTCATCATCATTTTCAAAGCATTTTCTTTCTACTTGAGCCCTTGATATCAGCTCCTCATTTTCCCGTTCCCACCCCCCACCGCCCTCTCTCATGAACACTTGATAAGTTATAGATTATTATTTTTATATCTTACATCATCCTCTGTCATCCTTCACTTTTCTGTTGTTCGCCCCCCTCGGAGGGGATTATAGATTGATGCTTGTGATTGATTCCCCCTTTCTCCCCCCACCTTCCCCTTATCCTCCTGGTATCTCTGTTCTCATTGTTGGCCCTGAGGGGTTTATCTGTCCTGGATTCCCTGTGTTGTGAGCTCTTATCTGTAGCAGTGTGCATGCTCTGCTCTAATCTGATATGTAAGGTAGAATTGAGGTTATGATAGTGGGGGAAGGAAGCATTAAAGAACCAGAGGAAAGTTGTGTGTTTCATCGGTGCTGTACTGCACCCTGACTGGCTCATCTCTTCCTTGTGACCCTTCTGTGAGGGGTTGTCCAATTGTCAACAGATGGGCTTTGGATCTCCACTCCATGCCGCCCCCCCCAACCCTGAAGTTTTTCTTCAATTCTTTTAGTTTAAGATAGGCTGAGCATGTTCTTTCTTAATGGTTTTCTAACTCTAGGTCCTTGCACATTTCATTATAAATAGTTCGTTTTGCAAATATTTGACAAGCACTTTCAGTATGAATATGTTGAGGTGCCCCTTGAGATTTTCTGTCCAGCCCTTTGCCTTCATCCTTTCTTCTGTCTGCCTCGGCTGCTCTATAATTAGATCAAGTCTCGAGTCTCTTCTCGCATCGACTTTGATTCTTTCCTTCCTGTCTTTTGACTGACTTTTGCTTGTTTCATGCCTGATGGTCTTGACGTCCTCCCACAGCTCCTCGGGCCTTCTGTCATGTTCGGAGTGACCAATCTGTCCCTGAAATGTTCTTGAAATTCAAGTGGGATAGACTCAAGGTTGCATTTGGACTCTTGTGGATTTGTTTTAAGTTTCTTCAGCTTCAACCCAAACTTACATGTGTGCACTTGATGGTCTGTCCCACAGTCAGCCCTGGCCTGGTTTTAGCTCCTGATGTTAAGGTACTGCAGATATCACTCGTTCACTGCCCTGTCCACTCAGCACCCTCTACCCTTCATGCCCCGTCTTCCTGCTGCACTGCTGCACTTGGGATGCAGCTGGGAGCAGGCGGAGCTGAACTGCCACATCTGTGCTCTGCCCACTTCCTGTGCGCCCCGCCCAGTTGGCATGTGGTACCTCCCCACACATAAGGCAGCACCTGGTGGTCTTGACACCAAAAGAACTCGGAGGGCCAGGGTGGCTTTGGCGTCTTCAGGGACTGGTTTTTCATCCCTTCTGTCTCCCACCTGCCTGTTCATGTCCACCTAATTCGGGATCCAAGGGCCAAACGAAACAGGGGTCCCTCAGGCGGTCCCCTCCCTGGTGCACAGAGCCCACCTAGCACTGCAGGGTGAATCCCTGCACCACTGCTTGGCCAGTCTCCTGCAGGAGCAACCAGTGCTATGGGGCTGGAGGACAACTGGAGGGGAGGGCTTGGAGTTGACCAAGGACAGCCTTAGGAGTTGTCCCGGGAAGCATGTTGCCCTGGCCATGCCTGTGTCTGAGTTCGGGGTGAGGAGGTCGCAGGCCGTCGGGACACCCTTAGCACAAGAGACAAGAGACAAGAGACAAGAGACCGTGCCTGACACTGAAGACCCACATCCACAGGCCTAGGCTTCCCCCTGTATCCTTAACCATCACTTTCTCATGATTACTGCTCGCTGAAGAGTGAGTGACATCCCTTGAAACGTGTGGAATTCCTAACTTGTCCCTGGGGCTTCCTGTGTGGTCTTCATGAGGTCACACCAGTGGGGGGTAGGACTGATCGCGTCCAGCCCTTGGGTCTAGGGCTGGCCACTCCTACACTCCCCACCCCCAAAGACACCCTGGAGGTGACAGCTTCTCTGTCAGCGACATTGGCTAAGCAAATCGGCCTGACTCGACCAAAGGAAGACTGTGGCAGTCACATCATCTCCTGTCAACTTGAGGAAGGAGTGGAGTCTAGCCTGTCAATCAGGTCATAGCCAATGGGGACTCTGTGTGGGCATGGCCTTCTCCTGAGGATTCTGGGAACTTCTGTCTTCCTCCCTGGAGACGGGACACACTCTCCCTCCCTGCAAGACAACCCTATTGATAAGCCACATGGAACTACACTGATGGAGCCAGAGCCCTGGAGCTGGAGGAGCCACGTGGAGACCACCCCAGTGCCAAGATGCTTCCACCGTCACTGGATCCACAAGACTTTCCACCCACTGGCCTGTGATCTTCCTGCATTCGGCATCATTGCATGTGTTGTGTGAGTCTGAAGAGGAATTTGCAGACTGGTATCAAGCGTATGGGTTAATATTAGACTTATGGACTTGATCTGGACTGGGCTGGGGTGTTTTCTTAATATATAATTACTCTTTATATATAAAGCTCTTTCTTATACACATATGAGTGTCTGTGAATTTGTGTCTCATGTCTACCCAGACTAACACAAAGACCAAGTAACCGACTCACTGCCCTCAAATCAATGTGGACTCATCATGACCATAAAGAAGGACCGGCTTTATTTCTGTCAGGAAGACTCATCCTTTCTTATCTACAGGCATTACTCTAATGGGCCAGTGGGGAGCCTGCTGGCCACGTGGTGACCCCAGGACACCTCCCGTCTCCCTGGCCACCTCGTCACTCGTCATTGGTGGCCTTCTCCTTGTTTTTCTCTTCTTCCTCGTTATCTTTCAGATTTTGGCGAGCAAACTCCTCAAACACCAGGTTTTCATCCTGAAAACTAAGACCAGACAAAGGGCAGGTTGGCCGGGGCACCATCAGAAGGGGAGATGGAAGCTTGAGCAAGCGTAGGACGTCTGCTCAGACTGAGGCCACGACGCTCCCGTGAAGGTGTTCCCACATGACAGGAGGGGCCCCGCCACGCTCTCTGCCACGTTTCACTTCACAGCCCTCAAACCACGATTCCGGGATGGGGAAGGCAGGCACAGGGCAATGGACTTCTCCGGTGACAACTGGTGGACTGTGGGTACTTGGTGGCAGAATGAATGGCAAGAGGCGCTGTCCCAGCAGGTCAGAGGGCAAAGGACCAGCAGCCAAGTGTCTGCACTAAGTGGGGAGTCCCAGGGGACAGGGGGATGAGAGGGCGGCGCCCAGCAACTCACCTCTCCTTTGCTGTGGTGCGGGCATAGGATGAAGGAGAGAGAGAGAGAGCGATGGGTTAGCACTGATTCCACATAACAGCGACAGCCAGCAAATGGCTTCCTTGGTGAGCTGACTTTATCATCAGAGGCTTCATCCTTTCTTCCGTCTGCCTCGGCTGCTCTATAATTAGATCAAGTCTCGAGTCTCTTCTCGCATCGACTTTGATTCTTTCCTTCCTGTCTTTTGACTGACTTTTGCTTGTTTCATGCCTGATGGTCTTGACGTCCTCCCACAGCTCCTCGGGCCTTCTGTCATGTTCGGAGTGACCAATCTGTCCCTGAAATGTTCTTGAAATTCAAGTGGGATAGACTCAAGGTTGCATTTGGACTCTTGTGGATTTGTTTTAAGTTTCTTCAGCTTCAACCCAAACTTACATGTGTGCACTTGATGGTCTGTCCCACAGTCAGCCCTGGCCTGGTTTTAGCTCCTGATGTTAAGGTACTGCAGATATCACTCGTTCACTGCCCTGTCCACTCAGCACCCTCTACCCTTCATGCCCCGTCTTCCTGCTGCACTGCTGCACTTGGGATGCAGCTGGGAGCAGGCGGAGCTGAACTGCCACATCTGTGCTCTGCCCACTTCCTGTGCGCCCCGCCCAGTTGGCATGTGGTACCTCCCCACACATAAGGCAGCACCTGGTGGTCTTGACACCAAAAGAACTCGGAGGGCCAGGGTGGCTTTGGCGTCTTCAGGGACTGGTTTTTCATCCCTTCTGTCTCCCACCTGCCTGTTCATGTCCACCTAATTCGGGATCCAAGGGCCAAACGAAACAGGGGTCCCTCAGGCGGTCCCCTCCCTGGTGCACAGAGCCCACCTAGCACTGCAGGGTGAATCCCTGCACCACTGCTTGGCCAGTCTCCTGCAGGAGCAACCAGTGCTATGGGGCTGGAGGACAACTGGAGGGGAGGGCTTGGAGTTGACCAAGGACAGCCTTAGGAGTTGTCCCGGGAAGCATGTTGCCCTGGCCATGCCTGTGTCTGAGTTCGGGGTGAGGAGGTCGCAGGCCGTCGGGACACCCTTAGCACAAGAGACAAGAGACAAGAGACAAGAGACCGTGCCTGACACTGAAGACCCACATCCACAGGCCTAGGCTTCCCCCTGTATCCTTAACCATCACTTTCTCATGATTACTGCTCGCTGAAGAGTGAGTGACATCCCTTGAAACGTGTGGAATTCCTAACTTGTCCCTGGGGCTTCCTGTGTGGTCTTCATGAGGTCACACCAGTGGGGGGTAGGACTGATCGCGTCCAGCCCTTGGGTCTAGGGCTGGCCACTCCTACACTCCCCACCCCCAAAGACACCCTGGAGGTGACAGCTTCTCTGTCAGCGACATTGGCTAAGCAAATCAGCCTGACTCGACCAAAGGAAGACTGTGGCAGTCACATCATCTCCTGTCAACTTGAGGAAGGGGTGGAGTCTAGCCT